GAAGCGGGGGGGATCGTCGCCGGGGCTCCCCCTTCCCTCCCCTGCCTTCCCCGCTCGCAGGGCGGGAAGAAGTAGTGGCAGCAAAGTGAAAGAAAAGTCGCTTTGCAGCCTTCCTTCCTCCCCCACCCCAACTCTGAAATCCAAAATTCCCCGAAGGGAAAGGGGGGGCGGGGAGGAGAGCCTCCAAGGGTCCCACACTGAGGGCAGGAGGGAGCACAGCCCTTTGCAGCCAGCAGAGAATCTCCCCGGGAGACCACCCTTTGCCTTGCCGGGGTGCTGCCACCCACTCGCCCTCGGCAGGAAGGATGGAGAGGAGCTGCTCACCTGCCTTGCGGCTCCCTTATTGCTTCCGTGCATCAGGGTGGGTAAAGTGGGCCGCCCGTGGGTGGCCTGCATGGCCCCCATGGGTGGGACTGAGCCTCCCATCCGCCTCCATCTCACGTGCTCCAACGGGGTCTTTCCCCCACATCCCACCTAGACGGAGATGGTGCTGCTGCCCCCATGGAGACGGGACCCCAGACGGGTACACCCCCGTGCTCCCCTTCATCCCAGCAGCCTGCGGTGAAGGATGACTTCCAGTTCGTCCTCTGTGAGCGCTGCCGACAGGAATCGCCCAACCTCAAGCTTCTCACCTGCCTCCACACCTTGTGCCTCGGTTGCCTGAGCGAGAACAAGCCCATTGGGCAGTGCCCCATATGCCGGACGGCCATCCCACAGGCCAGCGGCATCCCCAACATGGAAAACCTGCTCTTCACCAACCTGCAGACCAGGCTCAACATCTACAAGAAGCTCAGCAACAGCAGTGGCCTGAGCTGCAGTCGGTGCCGTAGCGAAACAGCGGCGGTGTGGTGCTCCGAGTGCGAGGAGTTCCTCTGCACCAAGTGCTTTGAAGACCACCAGTGGTTCTTCAAGAAGAGGAGCCACGAGGCCAGGAGGGTGGAGGAGCTTCGTGCTGAATCAGCCCATCAGTTCCTGGAAGACACCAGAAAGTCCTACAACCTTTTTTGCTCCAGTCCTGGTCACGCCAACCAGGGCCACATCTCCAGGTGAGGGTGGTGCCTTGTCCCCAGGTCCCATCCTGCAGCGAGGGCTTTGGGGCAGCTGCTCCAGGACCAACTCTGCCAGGAGGGCAGAGCTAAGGGGGTTTCATCACCTGCCTTTGGAGAGGGACCAGTGCAACCCTGGAGAGACCCTGGGCAGGAGCAGGGTGTGATATGGGGCTGGCAGGTCCTTGGGAGGAGGGAGGGGAGCAAAGGTGGGTTGAACACCCAGCTTCATGCCCACATCTGCAGCTGGTGATGTGAGGCAGAGCCCTTTCCTGCCCCGTGCCTCAGTTTCCCCTCTTGTTAAACTCCTCAGCTGTCCCTTGGGGAGGGGGAATCATGCCCAGCACAGTGGAAATGCTTTTCTCCCCCTGCTCACATACCGGCTTTGAAGGATGCTCCCGTTTCCTTCCAGCATCTACTGCAGGAAGTGTGAGAAGCCCCTGTGCTGCTCGTGCGCGCTGCTGGACAGCCAGCATGCTTCCTTCTGGGACATCCACACC